TAAGATTCAAGACAAAGAAGGAATTCCCCCTGACCAACAACGTTTGATTTTTGCTGGTAAACAGCTAGAAGATGGAAGAACTCTCTCAGATTATAATATCCAAAAGGAATCTACACTCCATTTAGTGTTGAGACTTAGAGGAGGTATGCAAATCTTTGTCAAAACTCTCACTGGTAAGACCATTACCTTAGAAGTTGAAGCTTCAGACACAATAGAGAATGTTAAAGCTAAGATTCAAGATAAAGAAGGAATTCCTCCAGATCAACAACGTTTAATCTTTGCTGGTAAACAACTAGAAGATGGAAGAACTCTTTCAGATTATAACATTCAGAAAGAATCTACACTTCACCTAGTGTTGAGACTTCGAGGAGGAATGTATAATCATATGCAACACATTATACAGAAACTTTGTCTATTTGAACCTGCTGTCATGCAGTTTGAAGATATTAATAATTATCTAAACAATAATCAAAGTCTGTGTTATAGTTAATTTCATGAAAGACTATATCTTGAAACTGACATGATAGTAAATTCTGTTGATGATATCTAGTAAAATCAATAGTATTGATAGATACATTCTACTACTTTTTTATGTATCATATTCATTAATACTTGCTATCAATATAAAAATATTTATTTATTCATATATAATGACAAGAATGGCAAGTTGTCTGTGTGCGTATAATGACATATTCTTGTGATGTACTTATTTATTAAACAAATATCAATGCATTCCTATAAAAAAATTTGTTTTTTTCTCTTTTAAATCCTAATTATTTATTTAATAATTTAATATTATAATAATATAATAATAATTTAATATATAAAAATATCGTTTCGTATTATCATATTTTATTTTCTTTAATCTAAAATCTCTAAGATTAATATTTATATATAATCAATTTTTTTTATCTTTCATTTGATACAAACAAATGTATAGATTTTTTTATAAATATTGATTATAATTTATTATGATTAATCTTGTTACGATAAATTTGAAAATTAATTGCCTATGAACATCAAATTTTGTTTAATTTTATTTT